CCTTTCTGTATAATTTAAACTTTTTAGGCAAATATTTTGTATATTTTTGGATAGTTGTATATTTTGAAGAGAGCTCCATCTATTAGGATGTGTCCTCGTGTCCAACTTGCCCTGTCTCCCACACACTGATCTGCACTCTGTCGAGCCTGGGTCTCTCTCCTACCTTCTGTGGGGTTCTCTCTATGAACAGTGTTCTGCAACCCATTGTCTATTCTGTGGTCTTCATACCTCTTGGCCTACCTGGTTTTCCAGTTCCCTTTCCTCAGCTCCAAATCTACCTGGTTCTACGCCAACATTGTGGCCTGGAAGCTTCCTTAGGGAAGTACCTGATTGTGCATTCATCAGAAGGCTTCTTTTTATTATTTCCCCCTCTCATTGGCCACTGTCTTTGTTGCCTGATGTCAAACAGCTTAAAAGTGTGTTTAAGATATTTCACTGTGTTTTCCAGTTCTTTCTGGTGGAAAGATACATCTGGTCTCACTTGTTATACCTTGTTTGAAAGTGATCATCTCGCCTACAGATAGTCAAACTAATTTTATGATGTCTACTGAGATTTATCTTGGAATATATACATATAGATGTTCAACCCTAAATTCCAACAGACTTTTTGTAGAAATTATAAAGCATATATATATATATACACACACACACACATACATATACATACACACGTAATATTTTGTAAAACTAATATATAACTGTCACATGAGAAAAGCAAAAGTTCTAAAATTCCATAATAAAAAAAATTCGATTTGTCTTTCAATGAAATTCTCCTATGGAAATACTGAGGCATTTTCCAGGACACTGCCCCAGGGGACTTTATGAGGCCCCACCCAGAATGTGACCCAGCAGGCATGTGAGGGATTTCAATCCCTGTGCTTGTCATTCTGTCTCCTCCACATGAAAATTTGAGATCTTCCTACATTCCTTTGTTGGGTTGCTTCACCATTCTGGACATTGAGGGACAGACAGAGGGTGTAACAGGCCATAAACATCAATAGCGCCAGTGTCTTTGAGGATGGAGACACTAACCTGCACCAGAAAAGCAGGTACCTGCATGGGGCATAGCCTCAGTGTATAAACCTAACCATGTGGTAATATGTGTACCGCTCTGAGACAAGATTCCACATGGAAGCAGGTTGTGCCTTTCTGAGAGTGACAGCTCATTCAGGAAGGTGTGTACCTGGATGTGTTTGGTAAACTCTTTCTCAATCAAGGGATAATGATAATCCTCAGAGTGATTTGTTTGTGAAAAAGAAAAAATGGATCATGAAAGAAACTGATGTAGAAACAGTCACTGAACAATGTTTTTCATAACACAATTACCGATTACTTAGGACATGCCCATATAAAAAGAAAAACACCGCCCTCTTATAGACTAAATACTGCTCAAACTTACCCTAGAGCTCTCAGAAAATGAATATTGAGATGATTTCTAGGATAACTGGATACCGAAGACAATGGTGTTCTTAAGTTTTCTGATACTTTGGTACCTACTTCATTAATTGATCATTTCTCACCTAGAGACCCATTCCCATGAAATGTCATTTTCAATTCAAGAAACAGTTCTACTGTGAGACAAATCGTCATCGTGGTGACTAAATGTGCGTATTGATTTTGACATCATGAACATGATCGTGATGATATTGATGGCATTCTCAGAAACATCCAGGTTCAAAATACTAACTGCAGAGTCATATTTATTTTAGTTTAGCTTTCGATCAAGAAGGGTATACATTGAAAATGACATACTCGGTGGTCTCCTGAGGGTTTTGTGCTGTTAAGAAAAGCAAGGCAAGCCTAAATTGTGGTCAGTTTCCTTGGCTTGTTCCTCTCTGCACCTGCTCCTCACAGGGTCTCTGCCTTGGATGGACTCTGAGCACCTCCTACTGGTCGTCTGCTGCCTATGCACCCAAATAAAGAAGGCGTTGGGGATCTGCTTCTGAAATGTTCACTTGTACATCTGGCCCCAGCAAGCATCTCACCAGGACTGGGAGCTGCGCCTTGGATCTCCCCCATGTGACCTCATCTTGTGCACTGTGCTTCCTTGCAGCAAGGTGACAAGGTCAGATGAGTGGCCCTCCCTTCAGAGATACTACTGGAAACAATTTTTAGCAAATCTAATTGTAGTTTGACAATATGATTCAGCAATCATGCTCATGGGAATGTGCCTGAGTGACTCATACTCACACAAAAAAACTATGCATGGACTTTCATTTACATTTCCCAAAACCTGGAAACTTTTCTTTATTAATTCTCATTAGTTCAGTCATTCTCAGATTTTAATCAGAAAACTAAACAATAACATTTTCTTTAACCAAACTTACAACTGACTAAGATGAGAAAATGGGGTCAGAAAAATCAAGACTGAGTTCTTACTTGCAGTCTAATGGTGGTAAGTTACATAATGGAGCTCTGGTGAGATAAGCTACTAGATGCTGTAATTTTTAACCTCTCAGTTACAGTCAACCAGCAATCCCCCATTAGCGAGGCATCTAAAGATCCCCCAACAAGGGAAAACTCTCTGACTCCATAAAACTACACTGGGAATCTCTCCAGGCTCTGAGGTATGCAGGAGCAGCCCCTACCCCAGATTATGCAGTCAGGCTAATCTCTGCTCTTTTCTTAGGAAAACAAGTGATGATTAGGATAAGCAGAAGACATACTCTACTGAACGTCTCTGTACATGGAGAAAAACCAAAAAAGTGGGAAATGCATTTTTCTGACACATTGAACAACATCCATGAAAAACGCAACTCTGTGCCATGATGTCTTGCAGAATTAGGATGCAATGCAATTGGAGTAAATGTGAAAATCACAATTGTTTGCAGACTGCACATTTGTTCATATAGGTTCCAATAAAATAACATCAAAGCCAGTGTTCTCTATAAGAGCTCAGAAACAGCATTTCAGAAGGCATTTTCCTCCCTCCTTCTACAGGTGACACAATGCACATGGATCAGGTGCCCACCTGCTGCTTTCTGATGTCCACGGCATGGCTTCGTGGTGAAGCCCACATTGTGTGGTCAACTTGAATGAAGGGACTGCCTCTGCAGTGATTCTGAATCAGAGCCATTGCTGGGAGTCATGGAGGTCCCTTGTGGGGTAACGTTGACTTGCAGAAGACTCAATTATATTCTGAACGTTCTTTTCACAGCACAGAAATAGAGGAAAGTTCTACCCAGACCTCCCTCCCTCTCTCCTTCACCCAGGGACACACTTCCCTCATATGCCTTCAACTTCCCCAGCCTCATTTCACCTCTTGTGCATTTTCCCTCAAAAAGGCATGTGTGCAAACATAATCCAGTCTTGAAGTTTTCTGCTCATAAGACCAATGATAACACAAATATTTTCACAAAATTATATTATATGTAATTTGAGCATGACCATATTACCAAATATAAAATAAAAGATAATCACAGCAAGAGTTAATTCTAGATATCACCTTGACTAGACCATCATCTTAGTTCCCGAATCACACACTCATCTAGATGTCACCGTGATGTTACAATACAGGTATTATTAAAGCCTGTCATTAGTTTTCCCTAAGTCAGGAAGATTGTCCTAGATCACCTTGGTGGGGGAAACTCAATGAAAGCATAAGAGAAGACGATGTAACTCAATGAGGAGTTATAGAGGAGCTGGAGCTCCTCTCCCAGAGCTGCACACTGTGAATCGCAACTACAGGTCTTCCCCAGAATTCCAGCCTGTATTCTCCAGTGGCCAGCGCTACTGACCTTAGGGCATACCTAGCCGGACCCTACAATTGCTGTCACAAAAAGCTCACAGCACAGTAAAGTGTCAATTCTCACCTCTCCACAAAGTCACAGGTGAGAGGGGACTCTGTGACAATGTGAGAAGCACAAGATCAGCTCTCCATCAATATCCAATTTGAGAAAACAACCATTGTCCCCTTGGTGACTAATGTTCACTTCATTTCCCAAATTAGTCCGAGCACACAAGACAACAGGAGGATCCACTCAATGGTGAGTGAGAAAATCCCCTCAGCCTCGCAGGTCCTGCAGGAGCCACAACCAGAACCACTACTGAGTTACACGTAACAGACCCAAATCCTGGGATTTAGACCACAGAAAACACACCCTCTGTATTCATTGAAAAGAAAGAGAAAAGAGAACTCTGAGAATAGTCTAGAGAGAAGAAAAATGGATTAGCAGAGAAAGGAAAAACTGGATCAGTTCCGAGTCAGATGTGCACAGTTTTACAAGAAGAGGAAAAACAGCTGTAAAAATGACCAGGTTTTAAGGATCCCTTTTGGCTTCAATCTGAATCCCAAATCAGAGATTCTCATGGAGGTCTTTGCCCTGAGTCTGACTGGAAAACACTTCCCAGATTCTGCTCTGCTTCCTGGGAACTCTAATTCTGGTATCTATGGCAGAGTTATTTCTGTTCCAAAGTGACGCTCTGGGTTCTGTGGGTGTGAGAATGTGCCCTCCTATTTTGAAGAAGGAAAGAAAGATGAAATAGAAAGAAGAAAGGAAAGGAAAGGAAAGGAAAGGAAAGGAAAGGAAAGGAAAGGAAGAAAGATGAAATAGAAAAAGAAGAAAGGAAAGGAAAGGAAAGGAAAGAAGTTAAAAGGGAAAGGAAAGGAAAGGAAAGGAAAGGAAGGTAGGAAAAGGAAAGAAAGGGAAAGAGCAAAGGAAAGGAAAGGAAGGAAGGGAAGGAAGGGAAGGAAGGGAAGGAAGGAAGAAAGAAAGAAAGAAAGAAAGAAAGAAAGAAAGAAAGAAAGAAAGAAAGAAAGAAAGACGGACAGACAGACAACAGTTTTGCATTCAGAGACATCAAATATGAATATAGAAATGTAAAGCTAGAGGAATTCCCTGGGGAAATTTGACAATGAGGCAGCCCCAGACACCGACACCCCCAGGGAAAGCCAGCCCTTAGCAAGATCTACACCTCCCTATGAGGTCAGCCTAGTGTACAGTGACTTAGACGCTCCCTGGGGGTCCCCGGCATCCCTGCAGGGAGGTTTGTGTCTGGGCTTAGTGACTTCTCCTCACTGTGTCTTTTGCACAGTAATACATGGCTGTATCCTCAACACTCAGGCTGTTCATTTGCAGATACAGGGAGTTTTTGGCATTGTCTCTGGAGATGGTGAATTGACCCTTCACAGCATCTGGGTACCATGTGCTAACTCCATTACCACTAATAGTTGAGACCCACTCCAGCCCCTTCCCTGGAGTCTGGTGAACCCAGCTCATGCCATAGCTATTGAAGGTGAATCCAGAGGCTTCCAAGGAGAGTCTCATGGATCCCCCAGGCTGTACCAGGCCTCCCCCAGACTCTACCAGCTGCACCTCACACTGGACACCTCCAAACAGAAAGACACCCTGGTCAGAAATGGTCAGATGTGTCTGCTGTTTCTCTCACTCATGTCCACTCACACTCAGCATCTCTAGTTCTCAATGAATCACCTTTTAAAACAGCAACAAGGAAAACCCAGGCCAGCCCAATCTCCACAGTGAGTCCTCTGTGTTCAGTGCTGAACACCGAATGGAAACACCTGGGCATCCCAGGACTGGTGCTCCTCTCCCAGAGCTGCAGGGTCAGGGCTGGGCTGGTTTTTATCAGCAGACGGAGAAACCTGTTTGCATGTCTCTTACTATACAGGAAGTTCTGGGGTAGGAAACATGAAGAGAAGGCAACACCCAGATAAAATGATGGTGCCCTGCAGGAGTTTGGTAACAATGATAGTATTTGTATAAATTTTGTCTTATTATGAAATTGTGCTGTGATAAACACTTTACATTGATCACCATATTTCATTTTTAGATATTTGTGCAAATTGTAATCTGTAGGAGTCAACAGTTTCTTCATTTACGGATGTGGACCTGAACCCACAAATCCAGGGGCTAAGTATGTGTCTAGGAGTTCATGTCTGCAATAAGTGAGCTCCAGCATCTGGCCCTGTGCTCCTCATTACTAGCTCTGACATCTCCCTAAACCAAATCCAAGACAGAGCTGGATGTGCCTAGTGTGGATTGCAGAACCCACTTCCGGTATTGAGAACATGAGTGATTTTGCTGCACTCCAGCACTCACCAGACAATATGGAAAGAACAAGGGTTTTCAGGCAGATGAATTCAGGTATTTCTGACCTTTAATATATTTTCCTCTCTTCCTATCACTCATTTCTTGTCTAAGTTTCCATTTGTTTCCTTGTAATAAATATTATGAGGTTTAACTTAAAGATAATAAACTTCACATATGTAAGGTGTACAATTAATAAACATGATGTAAGTGTCATAATTATCAAGAAAGTGGACAAGTGCATTATTCTCAACAATTTCTCTTGTTCTGCTGTATTCTTCCTCCTTCCCTCTTTCCTTCTTCTAGCATTTCCCCAGTTAACTACTGATCTTCTTTATGCTTCAGATACATTTTCATTTTTTTCAGATGTTAAAAAATAAAAAAATATAGTATATAATCTCATTTGTTTGCCTTCTTTTACTCAACATAAATACTTACATATTTAACCTTGTTGTCATGTGTATCAGATATTTATTTATTATAAATAATGGGCAGTATTACAGTGAACAAGCTCACCATGATTTGTTTTTCTATTAAGCAGCTGAACAATATTTGGATTATTTTATTATTTGGAGTCTTACATAACAAATCTGCTACTCATCTTGGAAATGTACATAGATGAGAAATAGATTTTTCTTATGTTTCACAACAACATGAACTATAACAGCTAAAGACAGAGATAGAAATTTGCAAATTTTATTTATACTTCAGATAATTGAAATTTTAAGAAAAATAACAAATCTGAAATCTAGGGAGAGGTAAGCTCTTGGAGTAACAAAGCCAGGGTATGAGATTATTTGAGGCACAGTCTGGCATTTAAAATGCAGACTATTACAAGATAAAAATATGAACACATATTTGGTTGCTTGAAGCTGAGTGTGGTAAGAGTGTTGTTGTGTGAAATTCTCATGGACCACATGAAAAATAGCTTTTTTGTCCTGTTTAATCCTTTTCCACTAGAATGGGGAGAGTCACAAAATTCTTCCTTTTCCAACTTGTCTGTCTCGGAGAGAATGAGAGTCTACACTTCTGAAATGCACGCAGACCTACCTACCTTAAACCCACTACAGAAGTGAGGAATTACTCTGCAGGGCCAAGTCATGTAAACCAGAATGCTAGGGCACTGGTGCAACCTCTCAGGAATTGAGATGGGAACACAGGTCCCAACCAAAGTACTCTTAAGAAGCAGTTCCCCTCTCTTTCTTATGGAATCAGATCCTTAATCTGCAGAGCAGGATAGCAGATCTGAAAGCTGATGACACCGATGGAGAACACTGGAGCCGTGGGAAGGAACACCTGGAGAAAACAGGAGGACTCTACCCCAGGGAAAGGGCAAGAACACACAGACCAGCATCTCATCTGGAGGAGGGTCAGGAAAATTCAGAAGGTCACACTGAGACTCAGGATCAAAATGTCTTTCTAGGACTATGGACCTAGGAATAAGGTCCTAGGAATATGGACCCAGGAATATGGACACTTTAGTCTAATGCCTTTCACCAATTTAGAAATTGTCAGTTAAATAAAACACTTGAATGCACCTGAGGGAGCTGAAAGGGATTCCTTGGAGGATAGAACAGGGTGAAGAGGCAAAGTCAAGCAGAAAAGACAAAGAATGTATCATTGTAGGATCTGTATTCTCTAGTGGAAATAGAACAACAGATTCCAATTACTTTTTAAAACCTTCATATCAGACTTTAGTAACTGATATGATAAACTGGTTGGCCTCATCAGTGGAGTCTTATTACCCCATCAGGGATGAGGGTCCATGAGGGCACATGGTGCAGTTCTAGTCATGGGGGCAGGGGAGATGGTCTGTTGGTCTGTTGAGGTGTCCCTGGTCCTTCAGAGGAGAACTGCCTCTTCTGCACTTCCAACCAATATTTAATATATACGTGTGACTCTTGGGAATGTTGTCACCATGCCACAGAGTGATGGGAGTCATACAGGGGATGAAGCTGGCTTTTAGGATGCATTAGTGGGGAAAACTGTGGGAAAAAAAAAAAACTAGCCAGGTACATGAGCTGTCAAACTTGCCAAATTGAAGTCACTGACATTGAGGCTACTTGTTTCATTAGTTGTAATTTTCCTAATTGTTTAGCAGTTCAAATTGTCTTTCATCACTCTGTACTAAAGTAGCCCACACAATAATCAAGGATCATTAATGTAAAAACAACATTTGAAAATTAGAACAAGTCCCAAGCGAAGTCAATGATAGAATGTGGTTTGTAATGTGCTAGACAGGAGACATGATGGATACTAAGAGTGTGCTCACATCTATTTTTATGTCAAGATTAAAAAATATTTTTGTATATCCCTTAGGTAAAAGTCCCATTGGGATCTTTGTTTTAAGACTATATATTGATAGCTAACACCTCAATAATAAAAGTAGAGATTATTAAGAAGTAATTTGTATTACTAATACAAACATTCATTTATGATATATTTATCTGCATGTTGGGAAATAAACCCAGAAGACAGAAAATACGGCATTTATTAGAGCTTTTCAATATATTAAAGAACAGAATTAAGTACATAGCTTTCCAGAGTAGTAAAGATCTCTGGAATATTTTGAAAACAGAGAGGATTCTTATATCTTCTGGAAATCCTATCAAAATGGACAACAAGGGAAGAAACTTCCAGATGAATTTCTACATCCGGAATAACTGATTAATATAATTTTTAAAGCCAATGCAAACACACAATAAAAACTAGCATAAAGGCTACAATAATGTCATCATGGTTTAATACACTAAACACTAGCTCAACCTGATATATCATATTATCTAAACATGGAGGCCTTGTCATTGTTCATATGAGATGGAATCAATTCCACTCACAATCTTCTGAAACTGTTTTAAACATGGCATCTCTAAATAAAAATGATCAAATCTTTGATAGAATGTTGTAATACCTAACCTCCTTTTAACATGAATAGACTCTCCTTTAGCTTCCTAACCTTGTTTTAATATGAATAGCCTCCCCCTTAGCTGAGAAAACCCGATGGACTCCATTTGGCTCCTTCATTTGCAAGACATCAAGGACTCCTTACCCACCCCTTTCCTCAGGGAGTTAACTTGCCTAAGCTGACTCACAGCATATCAAAGAGTCCAATTAACTGATAAGGTACTGTGGTGAGCAATGTCCATAGATCCCAGGAATTCACTCAAGAGATAGCACCATAAAGCCGCTGCGTTTGTGTTGGGCAGAGTCCCCACACCTATCACCTTGTGATGAATTTAAAGTCCCTTCACCTGGAATTGTTTGTTTTCCTGTAACCATTTCTCTTTTTAACTTTTTATCTATTCTACTTCTGAAAGATTGCTACAGCTAGATTCCCCCTCCCCTCTCTAAACCAAAGTATGAAAGAAAATCTAGTCCCTTCTTCTGGGCTGAGAGAATTTCGAGCGTTAGCCGTCTCTCGGTCCTGGCTAATAAAGGACTCCTGAATTCGTCTCTAAGTGTGGCGTTTCTCTATAATTCGCTTGGTTATAACATGGGCAACATAGGGAGACCTTATTTCTATAAAAAATATTTTAAATAATAAGCAGCAGAGAAGTTGTGATGTGCCCCTCTAGTCCTAGATACTCAGAAGGCTAAAGTGGGAATATTCTGTTACCTGGGAGTTGAAAGTTACAGTGAGCTATGATCACACCACTGCACTTCAAACTGTGCAACAGAGTGAGACCCTGTCTCTAAAAACAAACAAAAAAGAATCAGTTATGATTTTCGCACGACTGTAAGGCTGCTTAGACAAGAAATGTTAAACTGAGCATCCTCATAGATCCTCTGGTGTTTCTGATGTTTTTAAGCAGATAGTTGACCTAAGACATTCAGAATGAGCTGATAATCCTTGATAGGGAAAAGCTTCTACCCATTCATTGGACCAGGACCCCTGTCTAATTCCCCACCCCTCTTCCGTTTTCGCATTAGTTTTTGCATATATTTATAAATAATCTTCTCATTTTATGTAGACTTGGTTGTTTTCTCCCCATATTGAAGACTTATGTCTTTTTTTGTTCATTATTTTTATAGTTGCTACATAGAGTATGTTGTCTCGCTATTGTTTGGTATGTGACTTCTGATAACTTAGGCACATTCCTCCATCATCTCTTTTTTACCACACAAGGTGAATCAGTTAGAAATCACAGAAACTCCCTGTTTTGATGCCAGTGGGAGTTTCAAACCTTATAAACCCCTACCTGTTAGTAGGATACCTCACTCTGCCTCCAGCACCAAACCATTATAAAAACCCTGGGCCAGTCTCCTTCCCTGCTCTCTCAAGTCATTTTGAACTTTCCTGAGAGACTTGCCCTGCTCTCAGTGGACACCCCGAAAGTGGAGATAATTAACATTCCTGTATTCACTTGGTCTGAGAGTGTGGCACCATCAGACACAACATTCAGACTAAATGTTAGTTGAGATCTCTTGGCCTTTGCATGGCATAAACTACAACTCATGCGGTGAGCTTGGTGTCACTGTTCCTATTAACAGGGCACACTCGATCTCTAAAACCAACTCCAGGACACAGCTGGACATGCGATGTGGCTTGGCGCTGTGTCCCTACCAAAGTCTCCTTTCAAATGTTAA